GAGATTCATAATTTCCTGATCGTAACTAAAATGATATAACTGTCCTTAATTTCCCCATCTGTATCTGAGGTTTACATCCTCTTCAAAGTTTTGCCTTTTTCTATTAACTTTAAACATTTCCCTCTATTTCTCCTCCTAATATGATCTTATTACAGCCTTCTGCAAAAGAAAGCAATTATTATACAGAAGACATGGCGGGGCTTTGCAGCAAGGGCACGTGTCAGACAAATGGTGAAGGTAAGTTAAAGCCTGGAATAGCAATAGATATATTGATTATGTTATGAAAGAATGCATTAGAATTCAATTGCCATATTTCTAAGTCTCTGCCTCTGACCTTAAGAAATATAATTCACTCGTTACACATGTGGAAATTAACACTTAGCAAATGTGATGAATTACGATAAGGAATTCCATCATGTCATAATTTCTGGGATTCCTATAGAAAGAGTTTAGTGACAAATAGAAATGAGGAACGAGTTGTGTTCATGATGGTTGTGTATGTGTGCTTTTGTAAAACAAGGCCCCATTTACAGCATATTGCCTCCAACTGCTTCTTAATTGAACAGATTGTTGATACCGGATCCAATACCCAGCGCTCTCACGTATAATTTTCCCCTGGATTGAGTTTTGTAAATGTATCACAACAAGCTATTTATCATGCCTGTAAATTGACTGTTTGCTAAAGCAGAACTGCCAGTCGCCGTTTGGGAGGCGTTCAAGAAATGGAAAGGAGGGAGTGCGAAGGGGTGTTAAAATAAACAGTGAAGGATGTGTCACAACACACATATGGGCTAAAATGAGGCTGTTTGGGCTCATTTAAAAACAGACGAGCGCTAATTTGAATCACTCAAAATTGCCACACTGCAATGTTTTGAATTAGCCCAGAGATATTCCACGCTTCACCTCCTCTTCTGCTCTTCGTCTGTCTTCCTCTGTCTATGGGACCTTATTGTGTGTAATTCGACTTGCACAAAGCTGCTTCACAAAACATCAAGCTGAATTTACTGTCTCCTTTCAAGTCTTTGTGTTCTTTCCTCTTCTCGTCTTCCCTTTTCTCTGTTGTTATTGAAAAAGACATGTTGAAATATGAATCTCTTTTATGGCCGACACTCCAGTTTGCTTCTGAAACGTGCCAATAGTAGTTGGCTGGCACGTTTGGTCTGTGACGGCTTGTTGAGTATGTTGCTGAGTATCTCTGGCCTTTTTTTTAGTCTCTTCTGTGGCAGGGCTGTCATTGATTATGAAATCCAGAGGAGAGAGTTTGGCCGTCATACATCTCCATTAGCTCGCTGCTTGACTATCATAGATTTTCTTGGCCCTTGTCTGTGTTAGTATATTAAGAGAGTACCGTCCTCCCCTTGATACAAAGGCCCACTAAACACTTTCTCACTCTCCCCTTCTCTTAAATCTTCTTTACCTTTTCTCATTGCTCTCCTGTTTTTTTACTTTCCCTTTTTTTTCCATTTCGACCCCTTTTCCCCCACCCTCCTCCCGTTCTGTGGCCTGATCTGTACCATCTCTGTGCAATATATTATGTATAAAGAGCTCTTTATCTTTGATGCCTGCTGTGGACAGATGAGAGGGCCCGGAGACAAGATGTAACGGCATCTTTTCCTTTGTGTTCACAGGAGGCATATTTTACCATGAAGATGAATTACTACAACGAGATGGCGGTCAGGGTAAATATCATGATAGTGTCTTGTATTAGCAAATGCAGTGTCTCTGTGTGGAGACATTTTATTACTTAGTGTCTGCTGTGAAGGGGACTCCCACTGAATAGCAATCTTTTTAACAAACCTTATTACCAGTTTTAGTGCAAAACTATTCATATCAAAGCTCATTTTTTCATTCTCCGACCATTTTGAGACATTTGCATGCACATCAGTACAAAACCGTATCAATAACCTCACATATG